TAACGCCTCATACCAGCTGTCAAGCACAGTGGTGGTGATTTGGGTTTGTTTTGCAGCCACTGTGTCAACCATAAACTTTTGTATACCAAAATATTCAAGATATTAATGTGAGGTCAAATGTCCAACAGCTTAAGCTTGTTCCAAATTGGGTCATACAAAAGACACCAACAAATCTACAACAGAATATCTGAAAAAGAAAAGGTTTTTCCGTGGAGAAGTGGAAGTCCAGACCTCAACCTGAAACTGTATTCCTCCAGAAATATGCAAGAGACTAGTACAGAAAGGGATTACTTCAAGTTAGTCAAGTAACTGTTATTCTACCAGAGTCCTTTTTACTTAGGTTATTACTTAGGTAACAACACAGTTTAAAATGTTAAACCTGCTATGTAAAAACCTTAGAATTGAGATGCTCTTTTTTTTTGGGGGGGGGGGTACTTTACCCATGACTGTATTGTATGATTTACAAATTACAAAGTGGACAGAAGTTTGGTGTATTCACCAGCAGAACTGTCCATCAGCTTGAAAGGCAGGCATATGCTCGTCAATTCAACAAGCGTCCAGGCTTCTGAAGTGTCCTTGAGGAAGACAATGAATCCCTACCAGCTTCTAGGGTGCGCTCTGTCACTGATACTTGACCTCAGACCTCGCTGAAGAGAAGGCCAAATAGATGTTCAGAAAACAGAACTCTCCTTGAGTGATGAATAGATTCAAAACAAATGGCACATTCTCTTCAAGGCTGATGTTTTGTCAAACCTAACCAGTCAGTGAGATGAGCACTTTGAGGAAAAAAAAAAACTGTCTCCATCATTCTTGCTTAAAGGAGAGTGAACGGTGCCAGGGCTGAGCAACACACACCTGTGCTAGGAGAATAAAATGCACACTAATTCCCTGATGTCTTTAGATGTAAGGACCAACTTAAATGTGCAAGGCAGAGCAAGATTACACGCCAACAACTACAACTCAGTATTTTATTTACAGAGCGCGTACAAGGCTCCTGAGACACACTCTTGTGCTACTTTAGCACAAGAACGTGTTGGATATGAGCCTCTCGGCTGATCAGTAAGTCACTGTAAACAGAACGGCTTCAAGGAGTGACTGTTGGTTACATTACAGATCAGTCTGGTATTTGAATGCTGTAAATATGATTACACCCAAGTTGCTTTCTTTTAACTCTGTTTAATGTTACTACCATAACTAATTTACTGTTACTTAATATACTAGTTCATAATACATAGATTATATATAAAACATAATATATAGGTTAAGAAATCAAATGTAAATCATCATATTAATGCAAGAAACAGGAATTAGATGTAATCATTAACACCAGCTTAATTGGCACTAAAAACACAATTTTTCTTATGTATGATAACTTATTCTTTTTTCTCAGTTTTTCACAGGGTTTGCTGCAATGATTCTGTAAATTATGTGACACAAATAGTAACATTTTTTTTAATATATTATCGCAGATGGGTCCAAAAGGCTTTTAAGACCACACTTTACTAATAGTGGGTTTTTATATAGATCTGGTATACTGTGGAGCTACCTGCTGCTGTGATAATAGACAAACCTAATGAATTTCAGTTTTAATTATTACACAAATGAGATTTTTAAAAAAAGATCTCGATAACTGTGCTACAATAAATGAATTCAATTTGAAGGAGTCGTGTTTCCATGATTTTATCAGGCCTCGATATGCGTGAGTGTTCAGGCAGGTGTTTGTCTTTCTGGACACATTTTGTCAGCACAAAAGCATCACAGTCATGGACGTGCGGTTAACGTCACAGTGAAGGCTTAAAGTAAAGATGTTGTATAATAACTCACTGGTGTTTAGATCTGAGTTAATCAGAAAACTAGTGAGTGAAATCATTTTACACACAGCTCTGATTTACAAATGTTGGCATTTACTTTGAAGTAGTTGTCATTTCTGCCCATTGAAGCTCCAGTTATATCAACACAGCTGTGCTATGCTGATGACGCTGAAGATGTGCTGTCGAACAAAGGGTCTCAGATTTGGATTAGTGGTGACTGACTTAACCAGTTTCACATCTGCTTTGGGTTTCCTCCCCCCACTAATTAAATGGACACTCCAAAATTAAGCAGCACCCTTTATAGTTAGTGTGAGAACTGATATGGAACTTTTCAACATTCCCTGGAATAAAATGAAAGCATCCCTAATGCACAGCTGACAAATACTGTGTGCGCAATCTCAATTAGTGGAACTGTTTCAGAGTGGCACTAATTAAATAAATATAGATTTTAAAAAGCAGTCGGTACTGCTGTAGGTAGCGTGGATATTTGCATGCTTGCATATATTGTGTATCCATCTGTGTTTGCCACAGAGGCTAATGTGTGCACATCACGTGTGTGTTCCGCAGGAAGAACTTGAATGTGTGTTTGTGTAACCCTATTTAGGCTAAATTATGAGTTTCTCATTAGCAACAGTATAAATATTTGTGTGTGCAGTGCAGATCTTGCTGTGAAAGCAGCTTGCTGCCTTTGAACAATAAAATATCATCTGCTTATCAGCAAAATGGAGCGCATTTCCAAACCCTGGAACAGACAGACAGACAACAGATGTTAGGGATGAGGCGTATGCGTGTTTCCAGCGTTCTTATCATGTTTACATTTAGGATTGTGGTAAGTGAGGCTTTTGAAATGTGGATCATTTAACTGTGTTAACATGCAGCCCACTCCATACCACAGCTGGAATTTCAAGGCTTTTGTGCTTCCCCCCCCCCCCCTCTCGGGCTTCATGCATGTTTCATACAGATATAGTCAAAATCACTCACACAAGCATTTTACAGTTTTCTTCACATATGCCTCACGCAATTGCATCCAAGCTGTCTGACACACTGCAGACAGAAGTCTTTCTTTCCTTTTCCATTTTTTTTTTTTTTTTTGACATCTCACTTAACTCGGCCCCATACCCAGTAAAAGAAAATTAGATTATTTTGTGTGCTCCTTCATTAGTCAATCTAGATTCACAGAGCTTCAAATTAAATGGATATCATTGTACATTTTACTTTTAACTTATTAATTTTACTTGAGCAAAGGTAACTTCAGCTGTTGCAAATGCTGCAGTAATTGTATGTTGCATGAGTTTTTGTCTTTTATATGTACTGCAGAGACATTCAATACTGATCATTACTTAAGAATATATGTATGTATCTCTAGTGTTTTGTTTGAGAAGTCAGATACAATACAATGGAAGTAATTAGAAATACCAGCTTTTTTAAAGATAATTCTGATTTCTGAATCATGGGGTTACTGAACCTTTTCTTATTTCTTATTCTATTCTTTCTTTCTTATTCTATATGTTAAATTTGACCTTTTAAATACCGTTTTTCTTTTGTTTGTTTTTTTGCATATTCAAATTTCCTTTCTGAGAAATGTAACTGACAGCATACACATACAAAACACTTTTCTTCAATGTAGAATTTTACTTTCATTATAAAAAATTATTAAACCTGACAATTTCTCCCAAACTGCAGTAAGTTACAGAATCCTCTCTCAACTGAAAATGTAGTAACTGTACACCCAATGTTACTTAGCATATTTTAGCTTATCAAACCAAAACAGATGCAACAGATTTTATATAACATAACAAATGTCAGTTATTTGCTGGACAGTAGCTTTTTGGTTGATTTTTCATTTATAACCTGTGATCTATAATCTACTTCATAGTCAGTAACAACCCTTGTTGCACATTGCTTTTGATTTATTTTCTGTGAGTTTCAATATTGACTTTTAGGGGCAGGGGAAAATCTATTAAGTATCAAGCTATTTTGCATGGCAATACAGTGTAAATACCAGGAGACCAAAATTAATTTCTGTTAAATATGAATTTCTGTCTACATAGACAACAGATATGCGATTCTCATTCTCAGTTTATCACAGGTAATTGATATATTATCAGAAACCCACTGCATTTTTTTTGCCAACTTGACCCCATTCAATTACAGACTGATATCAGACCCATAGCAGACTGTCTGTCTTATGGCAACGTTTAAGGCGTGCTTTTAAAACAGTGTTGGTTCAGTGCTTGACAATCTAAAATGAGACAAACTGAAATGAGATCTTTATCTTCTTGGATAAAACAGATACTAACAAAGTTAAACTTTGGGGCACTGTGATAAACGTATGATACTATAATACTCAGCATATCAAGAACTGTTAAAAATCACAATAACATTGGATTGTGAGTGAAGTATTGCAGTAAGGTATTGTGAGATGCCCGGTGCTTCCCTCCTTTGAGGTGGATCAGCTAAACCTAAGTGACACTGGGTCATATAACAGGACAGCGGCAAATGTACAACATAATGACTAAAAAAGAAAAGAGCCGAGGTGATGCAATGGCCTAGTCAAAGTCCAGACCTCAGCCTGGTTGAAATGCTGTGGCAGGACCTTAAAACAGTTGTGGACCACAGTGAAATGAAAGACACTGTAAAGAACACCGGACCAAAATTCCTCCACAGAGATGTGAGAGACTGATGGTGATATAGAAGCTGTTTGTTTCAAATTGTTGCTGTGAAAGGTACTGAAGAACTTGGTTTTTCACAGACCTGCACAGAGCGCTGTTGAAGTTTTCTTTTTCACATAACTAATCTACAGAGACTGTACAGTGAGCAGCTTTTAGTAGTGTATTTCAGTGCTGTGTTGCACTGAAATACACTAAAAATCATTACAAAAACATGGATCATAAACATGGTATAGTTATTGTTGTATCACCAGTTTTCTTCTGTGCAAAAATGCATTCAAAGGGAGAACTAGCAGCTTTCGTTAAATACGTGACCTGACTATATTTCGACATATTTATTGCATTAATGCACTGAAAACACAGCCTCAGGTCTGTGATAGAAATCAGTAGTGAGCTTCCTCAGCACTATTCAGAACTTTACCCATTCCTGATTATTTATCATCATTTTTTTCTTTCCTCCTTACCAACCTCCATCTTCCTGACACTTTCTGCATCTGTGTTACTTCTGTTGTGTGTACAGGGTATGGTTTTGTGGACTTCGACAGCCCTGCAGCAGCTCAGAAGGCTGTGGCCTCGCTCAAAGCCAGCGGAGTCCAGGCACAGATGGCAAAGGTAAGCTCCGTCACACGCTCCAATCTGTGGTCTGATTAACTTGGCGGTGTTGGTGTTGATGAGGTGGTGTTGTAACTCCTGAAGAAAACGGATTATAATAGATGGTGAGATTACTTTTTTAATAGCTTGCGATGACATAAATGAGATGATCAAAACTTTTGCCGTGACCACTTGGTTTACACGTGAGTAATTCTTTTGGGTTGACTCGAGACTGACAGGTGCAGATTTGCTTGAGTCTGTTTGAGATTACTGATCGAATTAGTCCTGGAGTTAATTTTTTCATGGCAAGCAAACAAAATGCTTGCCTTCCTACATTCCCACAATCTTTCTTTGCTTTTTGGTCTTATGTGGCCCTTTAGTAATGCTCTGTTTTATTTTCAAAAACGTGTGTGAAAGACAGATGAGATTAGAGAAAGTGGGTGTTTGTTAAATTTATATCCTTACGTTAGTATATCTTATAAGACTGCATAGTAGCAGGGAACACGCCTATCTTTCTTTTCTCTTAAGGAAAGCATGCAGGTTAATCTGCAGTGTGCGCATGTGTGCATGTTAGAGGACAACAATGCTGTGACGAAACTTGGACCTAACCAGCACAATCACATTATCCTGCCTGAGAGAAAGACGGAGAGACAGTGAATAGCCTGTCTTGTTTTCAGATTCATTAAAGCTGTATTGCTGCGTACTTCCTTTTCTAAATGAGAGAGGAGTGCAATTAAAAATAGGCCAGTCTTCAGGCACCAAGAGCATCCCATTGAATTAAACAGCAGCAAGCCTTTGAGCCACCTTTGCCTTGCTCTTCTATTAAACCTCTTTTCATTAGACTTCCATCTCTTATTTTGTTCGTAACGGCTTAGGGGTGGTGGGTGGGGGGGTATTGGGATAGGGAGGAGCAGGGTTGATGTGTTTAGCTGTTATAGAGGGGAGAACCCTCGACTCCTTGGAGATTGAGTTCTCTGGAGGGATGGAACGGAGGGCAAAGAGTCCATTTCAAATGAAATTACAGACTTTTTCCAGTTTCATGAACTAATTATGCAGAAGAGCTGCTGACGTCCCACATAACTTTCCCAGATCAGTGAGCAGTAAATAAATCTTAGTCTTAAAACACTGATGGAGGATGTTCCATCTCAAGCCTAACCTTGAACATTTTGTAAGTTGAGCAACTTTTTTTTTTTATTAGAGAGACTGACAATTGAAAACTTATAGCAGTACAATGAGATTTTGTGTAGGCTAGCTGAGACAGTAAGCTTTGATGTTGCGTCTAATCTGCAAGATAGTTGAGTCTTTCAGACAAAGTGAAGGGCGGAGAGAGAGAGATGATCAGCTTGTTTTAAAGAGGGATGAAACCTCTAAGACAAATATTACCTATTTTGGGGTTTCGGGATGTTTGGATAGCGTCACTACTGAGCCAGTGCTGGCCTTAAATGTCATAGCATCCAATCTGCAAAGATAAATCTAGCCAAGCATGCCATATGCATATTACGTTTAAATATCTGAAAACATATTCTGTGTTGAAAGCAATTGTTCAGATAAATAAAGGCAGGCTTATAATCCCATATTGAGAACATAAATGGTGTGGGATATTTCATGATGCTCCCTGAAGCTCTTTACGTACATTTTTCCTACCTGTATCAAAGTCTCATAGTGTTGATCTATGCAGCCTATACAGTATAAAAATTATATCTCACAACTTTATATTCTTACTTTATAGTTGCTACCAGGAAGCACAGAGGCTTACTATATTCTGATACACTAAAAAGCATGAGATCTACTGCCTTTTAAAACTGATTGGAAGAGACTTGAACATAGTAACTGGCGATAGAATAGGTAGTACTATATCATTGACCTTGTTTGGAAGGATGAATAAAAAAAAATGAATCTGTAGAGACAAGAAGAGCATGGAAATTGCTTATCTGTGCTTAAAATATCTTTTCTCTTTTCCTTTCTTTATATTAAAAAAAGGAAAAGGCAAACATGATTGTGAATCTACAGATCCCAGGATCTAGGTTTTGCTTAACTTCCTCTGCAATGGTATAAATAGTTAAAAGTTGTGTTGTATAAAAAAAACCACTTTTAAGAGCCATTGTTGGACAAATAAATCTACACGGGAGACGAGATGATATGTCATAGATGTAAGCATTTGTGCCTACAGGAGCTCAGAAGAGAAATGGACTACACCACATAATGCTTATAGCCATCCCTAGTGTTATCTGCGTGTTTGTTTAAATGCCGAACCAGCAGTTTGGTCTGTCAAGACAACGAATCAGAAATGTCAAACAGGTTTATACACACGACAGAAACGAATCAATGGGCAGCAGGAAAACCAAACACGGCAACCATCATGCTGCATGTCAGATAATGTAAGAGATGTAGGGGGCTTGTGTTGAGAGGTTGTATTTAGGGCAAGACGCTGGAAATAGCTTAAAATAGAGCTGGAAGCAGCAGTATATGTCACAGTGTAAGCAGTCCGTGTTAGCCATGATTACAGTAACTTCCTGACATCACTCATGAATTAATTAGAGCACAGTTGAAGCAAGATTAGACTGCTAGTGTGTATATAACTGGATTTACTGCGAGAAACCTTTATCCATTAAACCCTGCAGCTTGCACTGACATCTTCTTTTGTAGCAGGTGCATGTTTTGGTTGTGAAATAAATGAGACGAGAAGAAAACACAGCAAGCCAAGATGAGAGAAGAGACAAGAAACTGTGTGTATGTGCGTGTGTCCTATACTCACTTCCTCAGTCTTCTTGGTAATTACTGTTGACCTGAAAGATGATTACTTCTACAGCTGTACTCCCTCACGCTCTCGCCAGCTCACTCACAGTTAGTTTTTCTGTCTCCCAGCCTCATTCTTGCTTTCTTTTTGTAAGAGTATCTGTAGGTTGAATCCCCCTAACATTATTACACAGAGTACAGCGAATGATTTAAATTCTAGCTCTGATTTTTAACCAATATGTGAATCGGTGCTTCTCTGCATTTTATGCACTACAAAATGTTTTGTGAAAAGCATGTGTAGCCCTGTAAGAACATTCAGCAATGTGAAAGTATTGAATATTAACATTCATATCAGGGCATTATTTTATTTTGCAAACACAAAATCACCTAAGCCCCTTGTGTGTGTGTGTGTGTGTGTGTGTGTGTGTGTGTGTGTGTGTGTGTGTGTGTGTGGTGGGTATATAATAACAGTTACACAGGGCCAAGGTCACTATGCTAATTAGAGAGATGGTACTACTGGCAGTGACACTTCACACCTCCCTCCCTTATTCTCTCCCTTCTTTCTTCTCCCCTCCACTTTGTCCTTGGCACCTCCTGTCTTTGTATTCACTTCTCTCTCTCTCTTTTTTAACCCCCAATCCCACCATTTAATCCTATTTTAGGGGTTGGTTTAGTTGCTCCCCCCACGCGCGCGCGCGCACACACACACACACACACACACACACACACACACACACACACACACACACACACACACACACACACACACACACACCCTCCCCATTTCCTCTGTTGTACGTTCCCCCCAAACCGTATGTGTATGTGTGCAGCAGGTGCTGCAATGCCTCCTCCAGAGTCGTTAGTTACAGGGTTGAGAAAGGACAGTGTGTGAAGGGTAGAAAGAAAACGGGCACTCGTAAAGTTAACGACACTGGTTGACTGTCATTTATCTGCCTCTTTTTTTTTTCTTTCTTTCATTCTTTCTTACCTTTCTTCCTTCGCTCCCCCGGACTTTATTTACTGATATAAACGGTGTGTGCAAGCTTTCTTGCATGTGTACTGCTTTTATGTGGCTGTCTGTGTGTGTCTGACAGCTGAGGTTAGTGATGTGAAGAGGTGGCCAGCAGGACCAACTGAGACATAAAATAAAGATGAACCAGACAAAAACACATACACAGGAAGACAAGAGCATTTCTTTTTTCCCCCACTCTGCTTCCTGCTTGTCTATCACTCTGTTACCCGTTTGTTTCTGGAAACCATGTCACCTTATTTTTAACCTGTTTGTTTTTTTCCTCTTTTTTTTCTTTCAGCCATTTGTTTGAGTGTATTTTTTATTTTGTCAGCCAGATATACAGTAATACACCTGAATACTTTCACCAGCCAGCACATATAATGTAAATGTTGGTGTTATTCTGCTTTGTAAAGAGCAGCCTGTGACTGAAAAGCCGAGTTTTAAATTGAAAACCCTGGGCTAGGTGATAATGGTAATGTTCCTTTCTTCTATTGTAAAATCTGAAGTGACCCATCTCTTTAGAGGACTCTTCTTTTTATAAACTATGTTGATTATTTTTTAATACACAGCTATGACAAAGAAGGTTGTCTCTGTGCAGTTAAACAAAATGTATTTGGATTCTCTATTTGTGTTCAGAGATATCAACTATATTTCTACATTCTTTAAAAAAAAAAAACATGCCATCAACTTGCATTGCAAGTTGCTCAGATCTGAGTGGTTAAGGATGTTATGAAGCTGAATTTACTGTCTTTTTGTTAGACCTGACAGCCCCTAGCCAAACAATAGCAGGAAGAGGACATTCAGGAGGAGGACAGAAAGGAAAATAGGAATGGGAGGGATCCTAGTGAGTGAAACCCAATCGAATTAAATGTAATCTGGCCTGAATGTGCACAACCATCAGCTGCTTTCCAATCATATTAACCCTGCATTACCATCCCTTGGCTTTGTGTGTGCGCGTGTATGTGCATGTGTCTTTTTATGTTAGTGTGCGTAGAGGGTGATGGGAGAGAGATGTAGGAGTTAAGTGGATAAGTGAGAAAACAAAAGAAAGAGATGGACTGGATGGGGGAGAGAGCGTGAGAGGCAGGGAGACTGAGAGGAAAATGAAGATGAATATAGGTGTTTGGGTGATTAATGCGCCGCTGTTGCATTGCTAATGAAAAAATATTTCTCATCATTACAGTAATCATGATAATTCCTAGTGACACATAACAGTTTCTTCATTTTACTGCTTTACTAAGTTGTGTATTATGCCATCAAAAAAGATTACTTG